GATTTAACATTTCTTCATTAAAAGCAAAGCTCATTTATTTGCTAGAAAAGAACATAAATTGCACAATCCAATTCCAGAAAGTGAGGATGACTTAAAGATGTTCTAAACTTAGCACATGCATTGTTGCAACAGCTCTAGGTATTTCCTTCTCTTTCCCCATAGCTGAAGATTTTCATATTGCAGCATGTCCTTTGGTGTTTATAACTCTAAGAACACAGTTGTTGGAAGTTAAGGCTTACCCTTACCTGCCTTTCCCTTGCTCTTTGTGAAGAGCTGGGAATGGGTTTGGTCATGCCCAGGTTTCAGTGACACACTGCGAGCTGAAACTCTTCCCTCTTTTGTAAGGCAGTGCAAAAGGGAGGCTGGACACGGCCCCCCCTGGGAGCAGAGCCCATGCCTGGCTCAGGAAGGACTCCAGGCACAGCTCTCCAGCAGTGCAGGGGAGCAGGGAAGCATCACAACCTGCTCCTCCAGCTCTGCTCGGCCCCAGCCATCGCTCTTGCTCCTGCAGAGGCTGCTGGCCCTTCACTCCGAGCACTTGGGTATCCTCCCCAGTCACAAGAGTGGGAGGCAGCTACAGCCAGTGAACCAGCATGAAGCATCGGTGATGCCTGCAGGCAGAGATCAGTGCTACTGCAGCCACCAACCCTAACCCCCCCCTTGGTGGCTCCTCTGTAGCACCCACCACAGTGGGTGCTCCTCCTCCGGTACCTTTCCATGGGAAAGTTTCCCTTTTCTCTAGGGACCGGTCTAGCCAGAAGGGTCCCAACCTCTGCTCCTGTTCATCAGAAAGTCTTCAGATAAGACATTTGTTATCTGCATGAGCCTGTCTTACCAAACAACACTCTGTGATGAACAGTGGAGATAGACAGATACACTCTGCTCTGCGGTGTTCGCTATGTCAAGAGGAGCAGGTTGTGCCCTCTGAGCTTTCAGATTCGTTGCGACTCATCTGAAAATAGGGCAAATCCCCCCCCATATAACAATATATGAATATAAAAGCCCCCATATAAATATAACCCCCCATAAAACATAAAAATATAAAAAAACACATATAAAGTCTAAATATAAAAAAATCCATATAAAAATATAGAAATACAGGCCTCTAAAAGTGGGCAGGGACAGGAAGGGGAGAACACTAATAAAAGTTCATGACCAGCCTGATTTCGATGGCTTAAAGAAGGGCACGTTTGATAATTTCTGTGTGGTCTTTACAGGAAACTGCAGGTTCTTGAATCTTGAGATAATCTTGTAACAGAAAGAGATGCTGATCTCATCCTTCTCACATTCTGAGTAATTGGCAACTCTCTTTTTCTTTTTTTAACTAATTGCTTTAAATTAGTGCGTCCAAAGATGCATGGATGTGATTCCACCAATCTCCCAAACCAGCAGGAAATCACTCCTCTAATCATAGACCATCAGATCGGCATCTTTTACCTTCGTTTTGTTGTCATTAACACAAAAGACTCAGAACCCCATCTGCCTCCCAGGGAAGCCCCCAGGGATCTGCATCTATCCTGGATTGGAATGTGACATGCTAAGGAAAGGGAGAAAACGAAGCTGTACTTGAACCTGATGGGAGGAAACGCAGGGTCCGTTGTAAACAAGATTTTCACACATATTCTCACAAGATACCACAGTGATGGGCTCACTCGGCTTGCAAGAGAGATTGCCAGATTAGATGGAGTGTGTTAAGTACGGAACCGAGCAAATCCTGCACGATGTTCCTAGTGAATGGCTGAGCCAGTATGTCTCTACTCGAGCCACCATCCAAAGGGGTTACTGTAGGAAGTCAGCTCACTCCACACCGGGGTTCAGAGCGCTGGGTTTCACTACACTCAAACCAGTTTTCCTCTCACCTGCTGACTTCAGAGGAGTCAGTTACATCTGTCCTGCATGGGAAGTCATCTGCAGAGAACACCCTAACACAGAGGCTGCTGCTGCTGAAACAGCAGCCAGAGCACAGCCGGGTCCTGCCACCCTGCTGCGGTCGCTCGGTCTCCTTCCAGCTCTGAGCACCCTGCAGAGCAGCCCAGCAGCACGGCAGCAGCCTGCGAGCGAGCGGGCAGGGCGCTTTCAAATCCCCTTTCCTTAGCCCTAAAGCGGAAGGCTGGGCTAGGAACGCTCTGGCTTTGCTGGGAGTTCATTTAAAGCTGGGGAGAATTGAAGTTTTCATCTTGGCCAAAGCTGCCCTCGAGTAGGGACGGGGGATTTCAGCCTGTGCGAGCCCTTGGTTACTCGCAGCCACTTTCAAGCTGCCTGGAAGCACGGAGTGGTTCAAAACGTTGGTCCTCCGTCCACAAGAAGTGCCAAAAAAAGTCTGCCCATTCTTCAGATTATAGGACCGTGCGGTTCTGTGGTTTTCTGCGCTAGAAGCTCTGCGGTTTCTGAAGCTATTTTGTGCACCTCTAACACAGAGTAGCTGTTAGGCTTTCCTTAAATTGAATTTTCGAAGCCAGAATCCCAAGCTCTAGCAATTTCTTTCGCTATATTTAAGTAAAACAACTACAACAAAGTCATGTAGCCATTGCCATGGTAACCAGCAGTGTTGGGGGAAAACAGAAAGAGGAAAATTCAATCCAAACTCCGTGTAATTTAATAGGGAGAAAGCTATCCCCGCTGCTAACATCTGAAATGTACCTGCTGGCATCTGCAAACCTTACCCATCCCTGCGTGCCCCGGAGGTGGCCACACTCAGCTGGGTCGGTAACGGGTCCCACCTGCCCAGGACTCATCCTATGTGCCACAATGGAGAGGATGGAGCTCCTGAAACTCGCTGGCACTGCAGTAACCCCTCTCTGCCATGGAGACCCAGGCTTTAGGCACCGCTCCGTTCAGAAATGTGCTTCCCATACACTTGGAGGAGAAGGAATAAGTTTACAAGCCAAATCCAGCAATGTAAAGCACGCAGCCATACACAGTTCACCAGCCCTGGAGGTAACTGGCTCCACTTATTGATTCCCAGAGACTCCTTAACAGCTCCATCCTATTTGATCCCAACCAACCACTTCCCCATCACTTAGGCTGAGATTGGGAATCACTTCTGCAGTGGAACAATACTCAACGTGTGCAAAGGAGACACGGATTTATCCTGAACTTGTTAGGCAGAGAGTAAGCTTGATTTAATCTTTTGAGGTCTGACTTTTCAGCCACAATTATTTGATCTTACAGTATTTTATGTAGACACAAAAAATGAGTCATGTGCAATGCTTAATGTAATGAAGACGAATTCACTTTTACTAAAACCACCTTTCCAAGCACAGGGAGAGCAGGAGCAACAAGGTTTTCATTTACTCTTTTACCACAGTTAACATTAGTTACCTGCTTCTTTACCTGCTTCAATTATAACTCCTTGGAGCAAATCAGAAGTATTCTGCCCTTTGTAGTAAGCATAAATTCAGCAATACAGAAATTGCAGATGAACTTACCTGTTACAGGTTTATAATTAGATACAGGATCCCTTTAAATCACTTTTCCTTTGGCTTCTTGCACTTCTTACAGCTCTGAGCATTCCTGGAGTTCTCAGCTAGCATTATGTCATCAGGAAATACCTGGAATATCACACTGAACAGCCCCTGTGACTTTTAATGTGTTAGGTGAGAAGCTATTGAGTTCAAGGCTTAAACAAAACACCAAACAATCCCCAAATCCCAACAACCCCTTTCTTTACACCAGGTTTTGATATATTAATGACTTTACATCACAAGCACTCGCACAATAAAGGATGTAGGATGCCTGGGTGCCCTGCCTGCAGGTGAAAGGGATGGGCAGAGAGCACACAGGGCTTTGTTCTTCTGGACAGTTTCCTTCTGAAAAGCTGTGATTGAGAACAACATTTATGGGAGGTTAAACAGCAGAAGTGTGTTTGCAGCTGGCAAAGAGCATCATGAGGCTTCATCGGTAAGGACGGCAATAGGAGCTGTGAGTGCTGCTGTATCAGCACCAATAAACAGCTTTAACTGTGGCCATTACATTAAAAGGAATGCTAACCAGGCAGGAGGTGAAAGACGTGCAGTGACTGAAGCGATGGTCACGTACAGCAGACGGGAGATTCAGCAGCTTTCTCCCAGTGGTGTCTTCCTAGGAAAACCATGACTCCAGTTTCAGTGGTAGGGATGGCAGGAAGGGATCCGTGAGCTCAGACTTGCACAACACAAGTTGGCTTTGGGTCATATTTAGGCAGTCAACGAGTGCTACGTTTGTTTCTGAGGTTTAACAGATAAGCTTGTAGCTTTGAGCTCCTGCATGTTCAAATTTCCCCTTGCAGGGGTTTCTTCTTGAGCAGGATGTCTATGTTCTCCTTCCCTTCCCAATGAAGAGCCTCCTGGCCTCTACGTACAGGGAGTCCTTTTAGAGTAAGCAGGGACAATGCAGATTAGCCAAGCATCTGTGACAGTGGAAGGATGAACTTTATGTATGTCAGACTCCAAAACCTGGAGCGGGAGCAAAACCTGGCTCTGCAGCCCCCTGTTTTGCAAGGGAAGAGAGTAGCTGGGGAGGAAGTCATGCAAGTCCATGCCACACCACAGTCAGCTCCTGGCTTCAAAATGTCAGCACACTAAAAATACTGCTGGAGAGCAATTTCGAGAGAAACCTGCCTTGGCAATGGGTCGTTACCCATGCCAACATGTGCAGAGGCAGAGGAAATAAACAGCTGGGAGAATAATGAGTCAATGATGTCCAATGGGATGATAGGGAGGTGTGTTTTTCCAGCGAGCAGCCAGGTTTTGTCTCCGGTGATGTCCCAAACCCCTCCCAGGATAACTCGCCGGGATGTTCAGCATTGCGGCACACGAGTTGTTTTGGAAAGGGTGCGGCGTTGGATTTTCTGACTGGTCTCTACAGCCCAAATGGGGCCGGGATGAGGAAGAAGGGGAAGGAGAGAAGGGAAAACAGGGCGCGGAGGCTACCGGCCAGAAGGAAACAAGCAGTTGGTCACAGCAAGACTCACCAGTCTGAGACAAAAGCAAAGAAAAGAAAGATTGCCAAAGTCTCCGAGCTCCAAAAAGTAACTTCTCATTTATTATATTAAACAATAACATTTCTCTTATTATATTAAACAATAAACACATGAGATGGGTTAAAACTAAAATACCTTTCAGTTTGTTACAATATTTGAAAGAGAAATATAGCTACAACAATGTACATATTTGGAGAGATTAGTCAAATTTAGGTCAGCATCGCCGTTTCCCCTTTGTGTTTCCACCTTTTTTTAGGTCAGACTAAAGAATGTCATATTACAAGGGACACCAGAAGATCACTTTCTAATTGCAACAGAAGGAACCATAGTCACTAGGAGTTTTCCTTTTGAAGTGAAAACTTAAAGGGGAAGGCAGAAGTTGGCAAAAGTTCCATTTTATAACAAATTAGCCTTTATTTATAAAACTTTCAAGTAAAAAGAGCAGTATATCAACTGATAAAACAGGTGTGTCGATGAATAAAAGTTAACATATTTCCTCTAAAAATAAATCTTCTATGATTCCACTATACTCCAGGCAAAATTCCTTTCCTAAGGTGATTGTTGTGAAGGCTACAGAGATGCAACAGTTGACACACAACAGAAACTCAGCTGTTCCATCAGTGTGGAAAGGGATTTGAATTAGATCATTATTAGCTCAGATCAATTCACTTTAACAGAGTTCCAACTCCAAGCGAGGATTAAACAGAAATGAAATTCCTGAGAGGGAGGAATAAAATGCAGGAGGAGGGAGAAATCAAACTCTTACGTGAGCGAAAGCAACAATCCTACTTGGACCAAAATCCCTTGGGCCTCGGTTCTACAGAATAAATACTCTTCTCAATGGAGAAACACTACGGAAGAAATAGTAACCCAAAAAGGATTAGAAGAAGAATCAAGAAAAGTGCATTATCTTTGAGCATTAAGATGACAAAAGGATTTCTACAAAACTCCTGACAACACATTTCACAGGCAGGAATTAGGAAAAGAGAAGGTTCTGCAGCAGGATACAGCTTGGAATTTCCTACGCTTGGAAAGCGCAGCACACGAAACTGAAGAGAGTAAGGACTGATGATCCGCATAGGGCAGAGATTTCATAAGGAAAAACTTGCCAGTATAAAAATACTTCACAGAGCATTGCTGTTGAAGCACTGCTTTATGAGCATCTGCTTTTATTGCAGAATGACTGGTATGTTTTACAACAAGCCTATCTGAATATAACATAGGGAAACCACTCGAGGCCAGTGTGAGCATACTGGTCTATAAAGGCTAATGTGGGTAATTCAATACCTGTGTCCTACATGCAAGGTTTGCATGCGGAGGTTCAACGTGAATCATTGTCTGCCTTTCCTGTTTTAACTGTTGTGCCTCGGCGCTGGGTGCAATTCATGGTTTTCCATGAGTCATTCCAGCAGTGACGATACTCTGCATAAAACACACATGTGCCACTATAAAAGCCTACTAAACTCATAGTGATTGCTCAATGCACCACAGAGTCTCATAACTTATTCGAGCAGAATCACCTCCATTCTTTCCTCAAAGCCAAGAATGCATTGGATAGTCATTCCTCCTGAAGTAAAAGCTTAGGTGGAAAAGGAGGAAAACCAGAGCTGAAATCCAGATGACAATTACGTGCAACCTGTATAACTAGAATGAAGCAAGGAAAACATGTTTTCCACCTCAGTGTGTGACTGTCTGGGGGGTATGGAGCTATGGGAATAGCTCCCTAAAAATGGTTTTTTAGAAAAAGGGGAAAAGAGAGAGAAAAGTGAAACCAAAAGCAAATGTAGGAGAAAAACCATTGCCTCAGCCTAGCGAAAAAAGAAAAGCTGACATGACCATCCCATGCAAGAAGATCAGAAATGGAGCCTTTTCAAAAAGACACTTGAAATCTCAAAAGAATGGGAAATCACACCCAGTGCAGATGACACTGACCTTCTGCCAGGTTTCTCTCTCCACTTGGCACAGCTCCTGAACACAGTTTCTCATGCCAGTGAAAGTAATCATGAAACAAACTCATCAGAAGCAGTCATTTTGCCTTTTTTCTTTCCTTCTTTCACCAGAACTTTGAAATTCTAAGAGCCACGATCTAATCTGCCTTCCTGTAAAAATTCCATTTCTTATCCACCTCTGCTTACAGAATACATACATACACACAAGCTTTAATATATAGAATATATATGCATATTCTACATATTCATTGTATATACACATCTTATGTACAGCACAAGTAACTCTATACTAGACATAGTATGTGGACTTATATAGTATATACACACACTATTATTATATTATACAATACACTATATATATATGTACACACATAGACACAAATAATATGGATCTCAATGTACACTGTATATGCATTGTGTATACTCACATTTTCTGTATCTTGCACTGTACATATTTTCTCTGCCCAAATGGCAATAGGCCTATTTGTGCTTTAAATTTCACTGTTCTGAAGGAAGATGATGATCAATGTCTTGTGTTAAAGTTTTGTCTTAGAAGAACAAGTGCAGGTATTATACAAAGCACGGAGTTACAAGCATAAGGGAAGAATGTGGGTAATGCTCCTTTTTGCATGGAAAATTGTATTAAATAGAATGGGGAGAAATCACAGCTAAGTTGTCTTCTACTGCAGTGTCTAAAAATTGGAATCAAGAGTGTTTCAGGAAACCTAAGGTTACTAAATCTAACACACTGTGTACAGAGAACACGTTCTGTCCTTGTTCATTTGCTTGAGCTTCTATTACTGTCCAAGCAAACATGAAGAATGAGTCAATAAGGAAATAGGAAAATGAGTAATTAGTTCTAACACTATATGGAATGCTAGGTTAATTCACATTTCTGGCTTCCTGCTGAACAGCTTCAAAACACCGACTCACTGCCTTAGAAGCATTATAAATTACAGTATTTCAGAGCACTGACAAAGTAGCAGAAAGTCTTGTTATGGTACATAACTCAGGAGGTGAATCAAGCTATTGAGCTCATCCACCCTGTCCCACTGGAGTGACCTCATCCAAGCAGTAGTCCAAAAGTGATTTTCCTTTCTAAAAAGGCACTACATGTGAATGGGGGTTTATTGTAGCAGAAGAGACACCACAAAGACTTCGGCCCAAATGAACAGGAAAAGGAGAATCTTACACATGGATACAATCTGATCACTGAGAAGCCTGCAGCCATTCCATGTGGAAAATTGCTCATTCATAGCAAGAGTTTTATCTCACGTTAACTACAGACAGGCCCAAGTTTGCTCTGAGAGACCTCAAGTCCTGTACACCAGCAGAAAAGAGAAGTTGTTGACATTTTAGTATGCCTGATCACTTAATCTAACATAGCTTGGAGAAACATTACAATGGGAAGGGATTTCAAATCAGGGTCTGTGAAATCAGAAATACCTTCTACTGCATTCCACGGGGGTCACTAACAAGAGAGAATTCAAGAGCTTTATGTGGTTGGGTTTGATACTAGAATGCATCTTCTCCCCTTCTGAGGGGAATTAATGATTCGTGTTACTTGCAATATCACTGCACACAAAGCAAACAGGGAATTGTGACTCCTAAAACTGCATTTTGAGATACAAGGGTTCAGTTTTGTCAGGTATATTGCTGCACACATGAATGGATGGATGCGCACGTGTGTACGCACACACACACTCACCCATACACCTACTCACTAATACCGGGGATGACAAATGCCACATCTTAGCTGCATTTCAGAGCTGAAAACTACTAAGAAGATTAAAATGAATCTAATCAGATTCTTATCTCTAAGGAAAGCATCCAACATAAGGCCATTACAACAGAATGGGGAAAGACTGTTTTCATTCAGTGAACAGGCACTATCAGTGTAGTATGAAAAATGAAAGGAAGCAAGGACGTAAGAATAGAAATACATTAAAGATGATGAAGGAATACCACATTTTCATTTTAAGGGCTGCATCAATAAAACCACAGAATGTTATGCTCTGGATTCCTACAGAGCCAAGGATAGGAAAGACTTGCCTACTCTATTTAAACATGAGAGTCCAAGGCAAAGACAACTGAAGTGATCGAGTTCCTGTCATCAGAAAAGGCATTTTTAGTAAGTAAATAATTCACAGACTTATCTTAAAGACATGACACGTAAAACACGTTCTGTGTTATCCTTACCAGGTGGAAGTATTAAGTTCTACAGGTATATATAAAATCTGTTCCTACTCGGACTTACTTATTGCAAGCTGTGTTTTAAAGCCAATCTAGTCCACCAGTACCTTCTATAACTTAGGTATGAACATGTATTTGGCAAATAAAATCTGTTTCAACTTGGCCTTCCTTCAGCTAAATGATGTTTGATCTGTAACCCCATACTGTAAGGTAGGTGGAAATAAAGAAACAGAGGTAGGGACTGTCTCACACGCTCAGGCACCACAAATCATACGGTCTATGTTCTGGCAGTTGGAGCAAAAGAGAGTAAAACGAGTTGCAGGGATGAACACTGCTCAGACTTGGTAAGTTTTCCATTGCTTGGGTTTAAATGAAAGCAGCCCTCAAACTTGTATCACAATCTCAATTGCTTATGAGATAAAGCAAGATTTTACCTAATGATTTAATTGCCGAATTCTCTGTCCAATTTACAACTGAATTAACTCCCTCTCTTACAACGTCACACACAATTATTGCAACTCAATGCAAACTAATGTTTAAATTAGAAGAACTTCTCACTGATAGAAATTCATAACATTTTACACAGTTCACCATGTCTGTATCCACCAGATATAAATGGCCAGATTCTTTTGTAAAAGCCTCATCTCCTGGGTAAAAAGGGACCATCTAATAGTGAATTTATGCTGAAGACTTCAACACAGATGATGCAGATGACATACAGATTAACCTACCAGGAACTGTTAAATAAATGTAACAAGTGAAAGTTAATTCTATAGATATTGTAATTTGATGACATTTTCATTGAAATTCACACTGCAGCCTCAGAGCCCCAGTGGAATTCAGGTAATATAAAGCCAGATTCACAAGCTGCAGCTCACTATACGCAACATCGTCTTCCAGATAAGGAAACTTTGCTTTCAGTATCTTAGGATCATACATTACATTTCTTACAAGCAGTAAGTTTTATCTAGAACATATAATACAGCTTATACAGTGTTTCCTGCATATGATGCACTTGAAAAGCCACAGAGCCCAGTCTGACATAACCAGCCAGTCTCGTTTAGAGTTGAAGGTGACTAGAATTATTCTTACAACATAAACCAAGAACTTAGTATTTTTATAAAAGCCACGTTTAAAGGTTTCACTCGGACAGGGTGGAGCCAAAGAACCGCTACTTAAGAGTTTGGCATATCAGCCTTACTGAGTGCAATAGCCAACTCAAGGTCTTCTTGCTCTTGTCTCCGCAATCGAGCTAGTCTTTCTTGCTCTGCTTTTTCACTCTCACGCTTTGCCCAGGCCAGCTGCTGTTCTTCATTTCCAAACTAAAAAATGAAAATGGGAAACAAATTAATGAAGTTACCAAAAGCTAGAAGAAATTATGTGAAAAACACAATGAATCACACTTATTAAATATATGAATCACGTCTACCAAGCTGTCTTAGGGTAGCTCTTCTGAATTGAGATAAAAATTCACTCACTGATGTCCTCATTTCATCCTTTAATTTATTTCCTTAATTTCTTCCTCCTCCCACCAGGAAACTAACCCATCTGGGCTGCACGTCCCTGCATCCATGTCTCAGCTGTGTATGAAAATGGCCAGGGGACTGGAGCCAAACAAAAACCCCACAAACACAAAAAAAGCAAGTTAGTGGTTTGGGAGCAGAGCAACCTACATTCATTTTTAAGAATAGTAAATAGCTGGTAAAACCAAGAGTTATTTACTCTTGTGCAACTCCTCTGCAGAGAGTTTTCTTGTAGTGTTTCCTCTAAGGGTGACGGGTTTTAATAATGACTCTGGAGACTGCTGATTTGTGGGAAGCTTCATCACCAACTCCAAAGTTACAACAAGTGCTTCTCTTACTGGACATAAAATCCATGCAGAGTTTTTTCCAGCAAGAAATAACGTAAGAGAATCAAATGTACTTCAGCAGAAAACACCAAGAAAACAGAACATACTTTAACACGCAGCATCCAAGCCTGTTTGAGCTGCCCCAAACACATCAGTGCACTGCAGCAAAACTATTCCAAAGTTACATCTCAGGATTTACCAATGGAGCATGCAAAAAAAGTCTGCTTGGTTGAGCTTTTTGCACGAAAAAATGACAATATTGTCTTGAAATCACAACAATTTCAAACTCAAATATAATCCATGACTGTTTAATTTTAGCATTGGCTGAAGAGGGTGACGGGCACAGAAACGCTTGCAGCTGCATGCAAGCGCTTGCATTACAGCCCACTTCTAACATTTGCTTTGGCCTATCTTTTCTTGAAATGGTCGGGAAAACATGTTATTTGAGTTTTTTTTAGGGGGGATGAGAAAACCATGGAATTTGTAGGTTCAGTTGCAGCTGGATGCATACTGCACAAATTGTCCTGCGGGCCACAACACAGTAGTTCTAGAGGCAGCAAAATGCACCCGTTCGCTACCTGACTGGGCAACACCTTCCCCAACAAGCTTGAAACACACGGTGCTAGACCTATGCCTGGCTACATCTACACTATGCAATGAGCCCAGCCCTGCCTTTTCCACTCTGCATTGGATCTATAATTTGTGTTTTTCAATAAATGTACCCATCTCAATTTTTTTCAACCCAAGTCCAATTCTTGTTTACTCGTAATTTACATTCTGCTTTCTCTACGTGCTTCGGGATGCCCCCAATTCCTCAGTTTATTTCCCTTATTATGATCTTTCACGTGATTTGATGAAAGAAAAGGGGAGGAAAAAAGGTATTTTAAAATTACTTTCAAGATTACTTCTGCTTTCATCAACATCAAAACTTAGATGTGGACCTTTGTATCCAATGCTACTGAAATACAACAGAAGTGCCATGCATTTTACCATATTTGACTTTTAAAGTGATTTAAATCATGTCAGCTGAAAGCTGAGATTTAAAAGCTCCCAGAGATTTTAAATAGATTAGTTTTGTTCAAGATACAGTACAGGCAGACTCAAATGGAAAAAGGGCTTCTCTGCTCATTCCAGTAATTCAAAAAGATCACATTAGCTGGGATGAAGAATAACAGTTACTCTTTCTGAAATACAACCAGCTTTGGTCAAACCCTCTGCTGAGAAAACAGTCTTACTCATATAGCTTCCATCTTAAGATAAATCTTCCAAAGCTTATGAAAGTCCCAATTGTGACTTGCTTATTGTATATTTTTTGTGGTTAAAAGTGCTGAGTAAAAAAAGGCAAAATAGGTGATTCACTGGCAACAAATCTGGATGTGCCTTGTTACAAATGGCTGGCAGAAAGGCATAAAGGAAACTTTTCAGGAGCATAACTCCGACCACCAGATAGCAAAATACCCAACAGTGCCTATAAAAAGGCAATGTAACCGAATTACAAGTCATTCAATACAATAACAATTGGTTTGCATATATCCAGGCTTTAAGAAGTCTGTAAATATATCTCATATAACTGTCATTTCACTGAAATCCCTTTTCTTTCTTTGGAAGTTCAGTCAGACCCAAGCATAAAGGAGGAAAAGAGCAGAGTACAGAGAAACTGATCAAATACCCAAAAGCTGCACTGACTCGTGTGTACTAAATCACCAGCTTATATTAAAGAGAAAATTAAGTTTAGTTCTAAGTGCTCTGTTTCTGTTGGCAGGAAGATTGCTTTTCTTGTTGTTCTGTAAACTGAAGCTGGAACCCAGAAATACCTGAAATATGAGCTACCAAAAGGCTTTGTTTTTTAACAAAGAGCCGTATTTAATGCCACGAGAATATACTTAAACTGTGGAGAGCATGAATTCGCCAGAGTCTCAGAAAAAAAGCACCAGATTTTCTAGAGTGCTACTCGAAGCAAGTGAAGGCTCTCATGTTACTTCTGTGCTAAAGAATTTCAAGTAAAAAAATCAAACCTACGTGATTCTCTGATTCTGTTCTCAGATTCCATGGCCTTAAACTTTGTGTCAAAAAGCCTTCTGTCAGTCAAATCGCTTTGAATTTCCATTATGAACAAAGTTCCCCAAACGTCAGGCAAAGAGCAGCGCAATATTCTTGCTGATTACAAGGTAACTGGTACAATTAAGGCTTCATACAGAAGGATTAGGAATTATCAAGTGCAGCAACATAATTGTGTTACAAGCAAGCGAACTCCCAACAAACTGCAAAGAACAGGGATCAAGTCCCCAGTCAAATTCATGTAATGAAGTGCCACTTAACAGTAATTCTAAGTGGCTACTGCTCAAGATCTCATTTTTCCTATTTTTCCCTTATCTTCTAAAGTTAATCTCATCTCCAGAAAACCTGATGGCACAGCAAATTTCACACTAGAGCACCCGCTGGGATGGGGATCAGTGATTTTGGTTAATCATTTAATGCAATCAGCCAGTGTAAGCCACACTTTTAACTTAAGAAATGCAGTCTGTAAAGGAAGCCAACATGAGCTGGGTAACAGTCATTCCATTATTTGTCTTTCATTGAAGGAAGAAATTAGATGTTCAAGAAATTTCAGATAAAGCAAGTTTTGTGTCTTATTTTTATTAAGAATGTCACCATTTTGTATACAATCACAGAATCTAACTGTGCAAATTCAACAGGCTAGTACTAATTGTGGTAAAGCATACAGAGTATCTTGAACTTTGACGTTTTCAGTATCATAGATAAATTAAAGCACTGAGGTCAGCTAAAAGTATGCACAGATGACCTCATCTAACAATATCAAATAGGAAAGTGATAACACATTTACTATTAACTAATAACGGGGGGGGGGGGGGAACCATTAAAAATAAGCAACCTGAAAGATTCAGTTTGAAGACCTCCACTTGTTGAACACTGAACCGTGCTCATCAGAGTTAAGTAACAGATTACGTTGGCAATTTTACTGCATGGCAATGTGACAGAACAAAAATACATGAAAGGAGGAAGAAGACTGAGGCTGTGGATGGAACAGGTTTCTATCTACTCATGGAAGCAGTAAGAACCACACTAGGACTACATTTACAGTGATTTCCAACCTGCCAGCACTGAAAACAAAGCCTGATGTTTTTTAATGAATGGGTACTTGGCTTTGCTTTCAAACCTTCTCACAGTGTCTTTTAGAATACAGGATGGATGTTTCTGTATTGGTTCTTCAAAACAATTTTGTTTTCTTTCTCTAACAAGGGCTTTTCTACAATATCAGTAATGGGAACAAACTCCAACAGCTAACTTTTCAATCTCTGTCTTGGATATGCATCTTTATGACCACATTCCATCATATACAGCAAACATTGTGACAGGATTGTCAGAACTTTTTTCACAAACAATTACAAATACTTTAATGGAACCTTTCCCTTTCAGGATTTGCTTCCCAGGATATGGTGAAATCACTATAGAAATGTTTTCAACAATTGGTTTTGAACCTTTACATCATTGGCTCCCAAAACTCAGTTTACAAAATAGCCTCCATGCAACAAAAACAATACACAGATTCTGCTACAAAGAATTTGTGAGTAAAGGCACACTGTACTAAAATAATTTAAATGCAAGTAAACCCTTTAAAATTTAGTATGAAACTTCTTGGTTTTTATTGAAATAATGCCTTTTTATTACAGAAATATTAATACAAAAACAATGAGGACAGCATGAAGGTACTAAAAGACAGAAGCCAGTGAACAGTAGGTTTGCAGTTAAAACAAAACCCCAATAGATTGCTGCAAGCAGAGCAGAAAGTGGTTTGCTCAGAGACAATGAACTTAACTTACAGAGCTGAAGTCTGCAAACCCCAAGGAAGAGTCTTTAGAAGTTTTACTTGAAGAGGAGGGAGCAAATGGATCTTTTCCACTAAATGGGTCCCCAAACCCCTTTTTACTTTGAAACGGGTCACTGCTGTCAGCCCCAAATGGCTGGAATGGATCATGGGGCTTGGGAAAATCTGAAGACCCAAGGTGGCTTACAGGAGTACTTTTACCTGGAAAGTTTAGGAAAAAAACAAACAAAAGGAGAAAAAGAGAAGTTACTTACCATGGCCAATGCAAGCCCTTAAATAGGAAACTGTGCTGATACAATCTAGCATCATCCATCCTTGCTGGGATGGTTTAAATTTTAAGCAGATATAATGGTACTTATTTCTCAATGTAAATCATCTCAAACCGTTGTTTTAAATAGATTTATCATCTTACTTATAGATACTGCAATATTAATACCTTTGAGATTTTAAATGATAAAACCCAATATAAAGCCATTTGGTCAGAAGAATTTGACAAGTATGACTTTAGGTCATTTTCCAGGATTAGAGATATTTCAAGTTTAAATTTGGGATTATATAAAAGACAAAATACTTAAAAATACAGACCACTAGAGATAAATAATTAATCATGTTAACTAGAATTAAACAGTAACTTATCTATGACTTTACAGAACACATCCTGGAACTGGTTTATCCTTCCACCACACGTACAAGGGAAAAGAGACTGATTAAGAAATCACCTTGTTGTGCGGTGCTTGCCGTACAACCCATCTTTTGCAGGTGACTGCTTGTTCTTACATTCCACCCCAACAGCAAATGAAATCACAGGAACGACTGCATGTGCTCATAAATAATGGCTGTATATTTTGTTGGTTAGAAATAGAAACTCAGTGGTTAATTTCTAATTCCCCTTGCGAACAGTACTGTTTTGTTAGGTCAAACAACTGAAGAGATATATAGGTACATTTGCCTTTTCCTATTAGAACAACCCCAAACAAGCAATCAAAGAAGACTGCACCTGACAAGTACACAATCTAGCCTCCAGGGAAAATACTCCCTGGATGAACCCTCCTGATTATAGTGTGCACTTAACAAATGATAAAGAAAAACCTAGAAACACTTTAAAGGAAACAAATATTTAGGATTTCCTGTATAATAACCTGAGTTACATACATTAATTGCATTGATAAGGCTATATTTTTTGAAAAGTTCAATTATTTGAACTGTAACTTAATAGGGATCTTGTAATTTATTCACATGAGGATACACATACTAGGACTGCAGAGAAATGGGGAGTTGAACCCCCATATTTCAGAGCATGTACTTGGCATGCGTTAGACAGCCTGATAGCTTTTAAGAAGGTATTTTTGTAGTTGCTCATTAACTTTATAATAGTTGATTGAATCTCTGGAAATCCTCATTTGCCAAAGAGAAATAAGGATCAGCAAACCTGCACTAAACAAATAATCTACCCAGCAGCCTGCCTTCACCTGCCATTAAATCCCAGTTCCCATCCCAGGGAACATCTTTCCTGGCACTTGCTGAACACACATCCCTCTTGTCAACAGCAGGTTCCTCACCCCGCTGGTGACACCTCCCTTAAGGGTTAGTGCACAGTGTGCAGGGGCTTACACTCCTCAAGCTCAGCCAGGCACAGATTTACAGGGGAGCTGAAGGAATCACAGACTCTGCTCATTTGTGCAGTGCTAATGCCAGACCCAGGCTCCTGATGCAATGCAGTGACCAAGGCAGGCACTGTGCTTCAGGAAAGATGTGAAGCGAGCACAGCTGAACAAGCAGATAGAGGGAGATGTAGAAAAGACACAAACAGTAAGAGATATAACTGGATTTGTTCATTAAAAGAGTATGCAAGGAGAACCTGATCATAGTCCTGTAGGCAAGTCTTCCATTAAGATAAAGACTAATGGATTTAGATTTTAGCAAGAGAGATTTACATTAGACAATCTGTAACATTTTAAAAGGTTAAGAATACTCAAGACTGCCTAGGGAACTTGTTGCATTCCATCATCCTGTACAGGAGGTTCTAGAAATCACACTGGTTTAGCTGCCTTGAAGCTGGAGGATAAATGAGATCCCTTAAAAGTTCACTCCAGTACTATTCTGCATGGTTTAGTACATGCTCCATTCTGGGTATCAGATGTGGCAACGATCCATGGATATATGTTAGCAACCACATGTGGGACTTCTAAAGACAGCAGATCAGACCAGGGATTTGTTATTGATGGAAAGAAGTAAGAAAACATAAAGGAAATACCAGCAGCATTTGCTCTGCCCACAAGCATGGACCTTTCTTCACCTGAGTTTCAAGCTGCCTTTCCTATCAACAGAGGCCACATTTCGTTCTCTGAAAGTGTTGCTTTTACATCCTGCCATCACCATAGCCCCAGGAGATCTCACCTTTCATCACAGCTAGGCACTGTCAGGGAACTAAGCAAACCTGGTAAGGGATGAGTAACTCAGTATTCTATATGTAATTCTCCAGATAAAAAGAGCAACTCAGTTTAACTTACTTTAAAAGACAAAGAGAACCGGAGTATCTGCATTTATCAAGGCAACACAAGAGCCCTCTACATTTTTCTCCAGTAACTACTGCCAGTTACTATCAAGCAAATTCCCCCTAGTCTCCTTCTCCCTATATTGCACCAAACCAATTTTGACTGATAGAGGCAAAAATAACCCATTTTAAGCTGCTCTTTTCTTAGGTTAAATCTGCTGCTGCTGAAACCACTTTGTGGAACTGGTGACTGTTAACACAAGCCTAAGGCTTGCAACGTATTTGCTCAGCAAACCTGTTTTTTTCTAGGTGGCCCGTTTAATGTTTTTGCACAAAGCCCCTAGTGGTTTCAGGACGCACACAGAGCATCGGGGTTTCTCCTGCTTCATCTTCACACAGATCACAAAGAATAACTTCGCTGGAGAGGAAATGTCACCACAAATCATAGAGTTTCTGCTAATACTGTTGAAAATTTTCCTTTCACATCCCAAATGCAACTTTCTTCATTTTTTCCTATGTTAAAGAACAGAAGAGGGCTATAATTTTATTATTATTTGGGAAAAAGTGTAATATAAAATCAGGTTTATTTTTTGCAGAGCAATTTTCAGGGCTATGCTCCATGCTGAATACACCAATCCTGGCACTCACGACAGCACCCTCTACGAGCCCTCTTTTACTACACTCTCAGCGTTGCTTACAGTTTGTTTTCTCCTGCTACACTCTGCAAACATGGGTTTGAGGCCTGGCAGAAGTTTGTTTGGTTCAGTCAGATGTTCAAATTTACTTAGTTATTAGCCACAAATTAGTACTAATGACACCAGAATGATCTTCCTGACATCATTGCTGGGTTACACCCAGCGTGAATCTCCCAGTGCAGTAAGTGGATACTGAAGTACACAGAGGCGTATTCCCATGTCTAGAATGTGTATTTCAGACCCTATAATGCAAAGCAAAAATACCCAAAACACATTAAAACTGAAGGACATCAGTAAAATTGTAACAGTGCAAAATATACTCTTAGGAGTGGCTGAGATTGCATTAATCTTATATTCACTGGAAAATGTTCCATTTTTACACACTAAAGCTCATCGTTTTGGAGGCATGGCGGTATGAAAGTGCAAGCGAACAGTTGTAACCCTTACTTATTTGATTTTTCTACTAATAGTTTCAGGGGAAAAAAAGTGCAGAAAAAAGCAAAACAGGTCCTATTCTGAAACCACAGCAGTTTCAGCAGTTACCCAAGTGGTGCACCCAAACCACACCGAAGACTCACTTCAGCAAAAAGAGATGATGTACAAAATGGTTTACCACAGCAAATGCTGTTAACTTAAGAGTGAACTCCACCCATGTGAAGGGTTTATCTAATTTCATGCCCCACAGCAAAAACTTTAGGGTTGAGATCTATAGTTCAAGGCAAATATAATCTCACTGATAAGATGCAATTACATAAATTTCTCTTACTAAATTGCAAGATATTGGCAATGAAAGAATGAAGTGAAACATTTAGTTTTTCTCTGTGTTTTATGTTTCAACAATGGTCCGAACTTTCTGCTTAGCAGATCTTGCTGCATGAGTGGAAGCAGCATGTTTTGCTGTCTGAAGCCTGCATTCAGCATGCTCACAGGCAAACAGGGCAGAATTGAGATGACATGATTTCAGACTTCCACTGAACAAGGACTCCTTTCCAGGAAACTCTCTGAAGTGAAAAAGTGCTTTAAGAAGTCAGAATCGTGCTACATCTGATAAGTAATGCTAGAGTGAGTTAAATCCATGCCTGTGATTATACTTGGACATACAATACCAGGGTTCTGACCTCTCACATCTGCCTACCTGGCAGAGGAAGTATTACTCTAAAAGCTTTGGAGACTGTGCAGTGTTGTAAGGTGCCTCCCAGCACATCTTCCTCTTGTCATTTCACCAAATTTATATATCACTCCTAACTTACTCGGTGTGCTCTCCACCATCCCATTAAATTATCCAGCTCTTCCACTGAGGCGGAATAAAACTTGCATGAACTGTAAGGAACTTACAGAAAAAATACTCTTAGTTTTCAAAATGTGCTTGAAGGTTAGTAACATTAAAGCCAGTTTTCTACAGAATACTCAGAGGTATTTTGTCTTCAACAGGGGCTATTTCTGCACTGGATTTCAACTGTCTGGTGATAACGCCCTTTGCACAAAATCACTACACTTTTAGTAACAGAAGGAAGAATTTTTCCTATGCAAAAACTCCTCAAAACTGGTTTTGCTTAATATTTGCAAGATCTGCACCTTGAGCAAGCCCATAGCTCTGAAAAGCAGAGCTGAAGAGAAATACTCTAAAAACTACAAACTTCTTGAAAGGTGAGAAATCGTTGTACCTTCAGCCTAACAACCTGTCCTGAAACAGCTGCTGAACAGCCCCTTTCAACCATCGCTACTGAAATAACTGTGAGAGATGAGCATAAACACCACAATCAAAGCGTGAATGGAATTTTTAGTTGGTGGCCGGGCAGGTGCTCCACCCATGAGTCATTTACCCTACACAACACGGGCTGCTTGTGTTCGAATGCAACTGTCAGGGCTGCTAGAAGGCATGAAAAATAGTCAGAAGAATGTTTTCCTGTGCATCACAAGCTTTTTGGGTGAGTTTTTCACTCTCGGCTACTGCTGAGGTTAAAAACTAAAGGTAAACAGGCACTGAGCTACTTGTGAGTAACTCGGGTACC